ACTATATTTTTGTAAAAAAAAATCATTATGATGATTTATAGCCAACTTAATTGCATTAGTTTTATATTCAACTTCAGCGATCTTCCTTTCGCCCACACTGAAACATACGAAAGTGACTTATAAAATACTTAATATAGTTATTTTAATTGCAATTTATAATTTTTTTTTTCATGAATTGTTGATACTTTGTTTTCCAAAATAATGATTATGATGATTTAATATCAAAATATTTGCATAATTTCTATACTGTATACAAGTTCAGAGATCTTCCTTTCCCTCACAGAGAACAATACGAAAGTGATTTATTCGGACGACTGTGAGCGAGAGGAAATGAAAGTAAAAATATTAAATGTAGCGTTTAAATTGAATTTGCAGTTTGTAGACGTATATTATGAAAACTAAATTTGTTTTGGTTGATTTTTTAAATCATTAAGATGATTTAATCTTCATTTATTTGCATAATGTTTATACATTAGCTGAGACATCTATCTTCCTTTCGCTCATTGTGAACCTGACGAAAGTGACTTATTGAATATCAAATATAGCGTTTAAATAGACTTTAATATTAATATTGCAGTTTGAAGAAAGTACAGTACCAAAGGAAGTTAGAATTCCTTTTTTCCAGCATAAGATATGGACCTTCATTACTTTTTATACTGTATACATATTTCACAAATTGTGTAACTTCAATTACTGACTTTAACAAAAATTCTACTGCCGGCGTTTAAATATTAAACTTGTTTTTAATATGAATATTCATCTAGAAGGCAAAATATTCATTTCGTTAAATAGGCTATATTCCCACTATGCTATAGGCACATTATGCCTCAGAATTGAATAAATTTTTATTTTCTAAGAAATGGCAAGCATAAATTTTGTAACATTTAAATAATTATTTAAGAGCAAGTTGAATGCTTGTAATCTGAAGTAAGTAGCGATAAATATAAAATAATGTGTCATAAAAGTGGCAAAATGTAAACAAAGTAGTATATTTTGACTTCCTTACAAAATACTAAATCGCTATACCTGTGCAAACTGCCAAATGCAGCAGGTGAACGAAATAGTTTAGGTAATGCTCAATATGTAAATTTTTGGAAACTTTAACATTATACCAAAACTAAAAAGCTTTTGACAAGAATAAAGGAAAGCATTTCTGAGGCATAATGAGCATTTAACCTTAAGTCGGCATATGTTTTGCGGTTGTCTACCGGAAGGCGAAGTCACGACCACACATTATAATTGTTCAATATCGTGTCTTCGACTTTCGGGGACACGAGGACACGAAGACTTGACAAACTGATCGATCAATGTGTCTTTGTCGTTTGTTTCTTCAGGCGATGACATGACAAATATAGGGCGCCAATACGAAGATTTTTAACCGCCGACACGATAATTCTACAGAGGAAGATCTCGTGTTTTCTCCTATTGAAATATCGTTATATTTCCTTAAATGCATCATGTCTTTGTGTCGACGCCCATTTTTATTTACATATATTTGCATTCTTTATTTTTCGGTGGTTTTTTTTTTGGTCGCAACGACATTGTAAAGGTCATATGCGGACTTCCCAGTGTTACTAGTTTAGGAAGAAGATCTGCATTCTCATCTAAAAAGTTTTTTTTACTTTAATAACAACTTTGATTATTTAACTTCTTTTAAGTGAAGACTTCCTCCTGTGGTTATCGGCAAATCTATTCATACTAAATGATTCAAATCACTAACACCTGGCAAACTTCTACTTTGCTACTATGCTTACAAGAAATCATGGATGACCACAAAAAATAATGGACGACTTGTTGAAAATGTTGACAGAATGATAAGAAAGGCGAAACAACGCTCGACCACATCCTAACATACAACTTTCAAATGTAAAGCTACAGTTCTACCCCGCCCTTGACGGTCAGCCAGTGGACCAGGGGATCATCATGGCAGTAAAGCTTATGTACCACAAACGTCAACTTCATCATGTCTTTGTTGAAATGGAGAAAAACAAGACTTTAAATTCTTTAGGAGATTAATGTCTTATAGGCCATTAATTGGATTCATAGAGCATGGTATGATAGAGAGCCATCAATAATAGAGAAGTGTTTTAATAGTGTAGGGCTTTGTGACAGAATTGATGAGTCTAATGAGACTCTTACCTGAAATGAAAGTTGTGTAAATGAGGATGATTTCCATCATCTTTATGTTGTGAAACTAAGAAAGGAACTCTTTGACTGTGAGGTGAAGGATCATCTAAGCATTTACAACAATTTCAAAACTTGTGATACTGATGATTTGGACAAAAATGCAAAAGATTCTCTTGAATGTGAACAATGTGTTGGAAATGCTGGCGATCATCATTATGATAATTATCTAATGAGAATTATTTTGTGCCTAAACATATTTCAAAGAATGAAGCAAATGACTGTTTAAATAGGTCGAAGCAAATGGTTTTCCAGATTAGAAATGAGCCTATGTTTAAATATGTGATGGATTGTGATGATTTTTCGGTAAATATGAAAATGGCTACTACTACTACATGTATACAGGCAACTATCACTGATTTCTTTCAAGTATGTCAGTAAAGACGTTTTTTTTGTATTTATTTTGATGACATTTCTCTATATAGTGTTGCTTACATAATTTCTTTACAGGGAAACATCATGTTTCAGAAACCCAAATTTTATACAGTGTTGAGTGTATATTGTATGTTTCTATTATGATGTATGATTTTTCGATGAACATTTAGCAGTGGCAGATTTATTTCAGAAACCAATTAAAATGATGTATGTTTTACACTGCACAATTATGATTTGTGAAGGTGAATATAATGATTGTTAATGAAAATGGAAAATTGACTATGAATTAATTTATGAAAATGAATAAAATGAAATAAATTTTGAAATTAATACACAAGTTTGTAACATATTTTATATGTATATACATGTATAGGATTTACATACTAAGGACAATGGATCAAACGTTTTATTAACAACACTTCAACGGTATTGTACATCAACCGCTTCTACTCCTTCCTTTCCGTGGCTGCTGTAAACAGATTTGGCTGCATATATACTTATAAAAACAAGGGCAACGTTGTCGCAAAATACCCCTTTCTTAAAATCTGTTGATGGACATGTGGGCATTATATTCGTGCAAAGCAATTATGTATGACCTTGACATTTGAACTGGATCATGTTTGAAGCAATACATATAATAGTGGTGAACATTTCTATTAAGTATCATAAAAACTCTTCCATGTATGTAGGAGAAATGCTGCAGACGAAATCCAGATATTTCATTATCTTTAGTGACATTGACCTTGCGTTAATTGACTTAAAATATAAGTGCCATGGCGGTAGTCATGATAATGACGATTTGTTTAGCAATCCCTCATTAAGTGATGACTAAATGGTCCATATAATCATCTTCTTTATTTTATCAGAATTTTAACCCCTATGTATGACTTTGACTTAAGCCACAGGGACCTGAATTTTGCGCCTGACGCTCTGTCTCAAAATGGTGAACATTTGTAAAATTACTCTTTGCATGTAGTATATTTGCTCAAGACAAGCGTTCTTCCATGACCTCTATGTGTGACCTTGACATTTGACCTAAATACCTGGTTATGCGCAGGACACAACTTCTTTCAAGGTCAAATATGTTTTTGAAGTTTCATAGAAATCCATCCATGCGTGTAGGAGATATGCTCTAGAGAAAATCTGGAAATTTCATCATTTTCAGTGACCTTGACCTTGCATAGATTGACATAAATTACAACTGTCACAGGTGTTGCAATGATAATAAACATTTGTGTCACAATTCCTCGAAAAAAGATTGCTAAATGGCCCTTTTACACATTTTCATATTTGTATGTGAACTTTTACCCTTCATGACCTTTAGTTACGCCACTAGGACATGGATTTTGCGCGCAACACTCTATCTGATAATGGTGAACATTTGTATCATATTAAAATCCCTCTATGCATGGAGAATTTTTGCCCCGGACAAGCATATTCAATGACCTCTCTGTGATCTTGACTTTAACTTATAAACACGGTTTCACATAGTGGTGAAAATTTGTATTAAGTTTCATCAAAATCCCTCCATGTTCCAGACAATAAAGATCGCCGAAAGCTCGTCAGACCATCCGCTTCATAGTGGCGCACCTATAATACAACATGTGTTTCAACACATGTAACTGTATTAAACTCACTTTATAGCTCTAGACTAGTAAACTCGGTAACGTCTACATAAATTACTGTGTCAATCTCTACACAAATTATTCTCGCATCCTGTACATATAAATAACATGAAACAAGTTAATTGAGATCCCAGGGAAATTGTGGTCCCTTGACTAGTACGCAGATCAAAATAAGCAGTTTTTTATGATTTTCTTAAAATAAATCTCTCGACTATAAGCTGCATATATCTTTAAAGGGAAAAAATAGAATAAAATAAAAAAAGATTGAAGAATTATAGAAGGTTGTTGTTGGTATATTCAGCGTTTATAAAAAAACTGTTCTAGAACAAGATATTATAATTCATCATACAAATGTTAGTGTGACATCAATTTTAAAACTTATCTTTTTTTTTGTTACAGAACTATTTTATAAGAATATGATAACTTTACATTTATATTATTTTTATCGATATTTGAAATAATTGTGGAAATGTACCCATTACACACCAATCCACGTTAATATTTTTCTACGCTAGGAAATTTCCCGTCCTCTAAAATGTCGTCTGTTTCATTTTTTGAATTTGATCCAACATTTTCAAAATATAATGCAATAAATGTGTAAGAGATATATATAGGACTTGAATCAAAAAACGTACTGAAATACTACGTGCGTCTCGCCATGAATAAAGCTGCTTATATTCAGACAAATGTGTTAACTATCAGCAACATTTTTGCAAATAGTGAAAACATATGTAAATTCAGTGAATTGATATCGTTGCAAATGACTGATTTAAATGAAAACTATATGACAGTTTCTACTTTCAACAAATTATTTAGATTTATCCCAGATAACTTTCCAAAAGTTTAATTAACATAGGAATTTTTTGTGTCGTTTCAGTTTATAAATAAATTCAGTTTATCTAAAGTTGTGCAAGGGAAATTAAATTTTATTTTAAAAGGACAAGCAGATGATCACATTTGCAACCAAAATCACCAGGTAAGTTCAATTAAGCTATTCAAATATGATGTTATTTATTTTATAAATATGTAACTTCTATATATTGATACACAGGGTCAAGATAATGATGATGATTGGGATGGTGGTGATAATGGTAATGATAATTATCATAAAATTAATGCTGCTGCTGATGATGATTATGGTATAATGGTGATGATGAGATTAATTATAACAATGGTCACAATAATAATTCATAGTAACGATAGCAACACAAATGATAAAATGTATGTTGCAAATGTTTAGTAAACAGTAAAAGAAAAAAGATTATTACTTGTACATACATTATCTGGTGCCAAAGAGTGTTTGTTTGTTGTTCTTGCTGTAACATTTTTTTTTAATTTTTATTTTTTGCAGACTGAGCAAACAAGAAAAAACGCCTTTCCTTTGTTTGTATTATTGTTGAACTACAATTTGGTTTTACATATGTCTTGACAGTTATATTAATAGAAACGAAAAACAAAATCGTTCAAAAACGGAAAAAAACTGATAAATGAGTGTTAAATTAATATACTACTCATGTACATTTTTTCATTCAGGTTCTCAGTAGGGTCTAGATCTCATGAGATTATGACTCTGTGACATTACCCTCATAACTGAAATCAGTGTTTAAGGGATGTATGTATCCCATCTCCATATTGCTCCATATTGTAGTCTTTGAACATCGTAATTTTAAAGTTGAAATAGCTTTGAGGGAAATGTAAGCATAATCTACATACATTATAGCTGTAATTCTTCTTTTTTCTAAGTAGGTGAGTGTCAGTTAAGAGCCAACATTATTTTAAATTCTACGACGTTGCCGCTTTGGACATATTTAATATCACTGGTTTAACACAAACTGATACTTAACTTACAGTTTGTAACAAAAAATGACAGGAGGCAAAGTTCAGAAGAAAAAAAAACGCCGAGTATAGTTATTCTTGCTTCGTCAGGCCCTTGTAGGTGATTTTCCTTGCTCTGTTTTACTTTAAGGCATTCAGTACTTTGGTAATGGTCATTAGACAGTACCTTTTTGTACATGTTTACACGATCATTTATGTGTTTTATCTATTTCGTTTAATGTGAACATGACCCTTGTTAGTATTTCATTTGGTGGGGATTTACTTTATTTATACTGTATTGTCATATAGGAACATATTGGGGCTAAGAATGAGATTTGGTGCGCTTAAACCGATTTCAACTCCCCAGTGATTTAACTTCCACTGACCGTTCCAATGTGGTACGATCTGTGCTCCTTCACGTGTTCAAATGTGTGTATTGTGGATTGTTTATTCGATGAAGAATCGTCGAGGCTGAATTGTTTGTCGCATCTTTATCTGAAATTTGCAAATTTAAATTAAATTGTTACATAACAAATGTTGTAAGTCTTCTTTGTCTAACATACAGAATGTTAAGCCTTGGTATTGTGCTGGTTTTATGTGCATCATTCGTGACGTCAGCAGTTACGGAAACATGCAATGAGATGCCATCATGTTCTCTTTTTCCAAACCAAGACCGCGGTATTGTGTCTGTACAAGACATGATCCAGGTAACACTTACTTGTCTTATTATTTTTAAAGCTCTGAGTGTCTTTATAGTTGTTTCTGTTTAATAATGAAATTTACGGTTTGTTCTTGTATGTGTCGATGGCGAAAAGTAGCATGCTTCAAGATTCATGCTTATTTTTATGAACGTTTGGAAATTGATTTGAAAGTAAAAAATTGTTAAAAAAAATTATGTACTAAATACAAAAGTCATTTAAAATCCACTAAAATTACCAAGAAAAAAGTCAATATCTCACAGTAAAACAATACAATGCTGGAAATTACAATATCTGCAAAATGTAATGCAAAAAAAACATTGTATAATGATTTCATTACACAGGAAGTGCAGTCAAAACATTGGATAATGATTTACTACTCGCAATTTTCGACCAAACAGACGTATGGTAAATGTAACTTTAGGTGGAATGCTCCCGACTCCGACCAAAACATACGGAAGGACTTAATGTGCTAGTAAGTTTTTTTGTTTGGTACAATGTATTGGGCTCGTGTCCATTAAGTATATGTTAGTGTTCATCCGTGCTGTTCTATAGAAACTAGAAACTTCTACGGGAGCGATAGGGACAGGAGAATATTTCTTATTTCCGTATAACAGCTTCGGATGAACACTAACATACTAAACGTGAAGCTATATTCAATATCATTCTTTCCCGCTTCATTACGTCACCGTGCGGGTCTATGAAGTCGAATATGAACGGATTTCGGTATAGTATCGACTATGTTCTTGAAAATAAACGCACATAATTTTTAAGAAATACTGTGTTTTCATTGGTCGACAAATAAACTTGGATACTTAGAAAATATTAAGATCATGATCATTTGACTTAATTATTTTATTCCAATAGTGTTATAAAAACTCTGATTTGCAAAGATAAAGCCTATTTGGGAATAACATCGCCGAATAATAAAACAAAAACAAAATTAATCGCATCAAAATAACTTTAACGGATGGATGTTGGAATCAATAATTGAATAAACTGTAAAATACCTATTTCTTGCAAATTGAACAATAAATTAATACTTAATTTCATAGTCATGTTATTCTTTTAAGTCCAGTTTTATCATTGACAAGTAAATATTACATACATGAGAATAAACAAGGGAAAAACATGAGTTTTAAAATTTGACCCTGACTTTGATCCTGATCCATAAATCTTTGCGAACAAGGTCCTTGGTCACTGCATGCTGTCCCGCCTCGGGTATATAAACGAACGGGTCAAGAGAGAGAGAGAGAGAGTCTCGACCGAATCATGAGTGTTGTCACGTGATAAGATTTGAAAAAAACGTGATCCCTCGTATAGACAAAAATCCAAAAAGCACGCAAAAAGGACAAAATTGAAAAGTTGCATGCTCGGTTTGATTAGGCTTGTTCATGGACCGTAATGGAATGTGCAATCTACTGTCAACGCCCCTATCACCAGCTAAAGCAGAATTCAATATTTAAACATGTAATGGTAAAGTTTTGAATTTAGAAACATTCGCAGATGGGTTCATACGGCGATGGTCATCGAACCTTTGATTTGTTTGTAAGAAGTGGCGTATGGTCCCCAAGTAAGAAAATGTCTGTGCCCTAAACGAGAAAAAAATGGGCGGAACCAAACAAAATGGAATTTCGAAAGGGTATCAGGGGTTATGAACCCTGCATATCACAGATAAGCTGTCAAATCAAAAGACCAATTTAAAGTATAGTTCGGAAATTAGGTTTAACTCAAAACCATGGAAACCAAGTCTAAATTACCCTGGAGTTTCGGGATTTCGGGATTGATCTTTTGTCAAGTAATTTTGGATACCACAAGCTTAATACTTAGCGGAATATTAAAACATTTATACATTCATTTTTCATATCCCTTAAGATTAATAAACACAGGTTATTTATTTACATTTTTGAACAACTGCGACACATTAATATAACTTGTTATTTATCAGGGGTTATGAAGCCTGCATAAGCATGCCACAGATAAGCTGTCAAAAGACCAATTTAAACATGTTAAAGTCTAGTTGGGAAATTAGGTTTCACTAAAAACAGTGGAATTCCAGTCCAAATTACGCGGGGGATTTCGGGTTTGATCTTTTGTCAAGTAAATTTGGAATGCCACAAGCTTAATCTGTAGTGGAATAATATAACATTTTAACATTTAAACTTGTATTTCATACCCCTTTAGATTCATAAACACGTGTTATTAATTTACTTTTCCAGAATTTGAACAACTGCGACGCATACATATAAGTTTACTTTTTGTTTCAAATTTCAGCAACATTGACATTGAAAAATGTGAAAGCTTCGATCAAATTGTCAAACGCAAGGTGTCTGACTGCAGTCGAGTCGAAGAATACGGTAAAATACTTGTGTAAAACTGAAACAAACATAAAGATTTTTAGCACACTTAGATATTATTAAAACATATCATTTATATAACAAATTTTGCTATTTTATGTCAATGTGTTTCTTCATTTCCTTGTAAACAAGCGTCCAGTCAATTTGTAAGCTTAAACTCGTCCACGATGACGTAGTTTTAAAGTAAGGGGAAATGGTTTTAATTGACTGAACATCAATTATAGAAATAAAAACAGCATGACCCCATATTCACTTTTATTTCAAAAATAAATGAAATTTTGAAAATATATTCAAGAGTGAAAAATTGTGCACTGAACAAAAACAAAACTAATTTGCTCATTGCAAAAATAAAATATAGAAAGAAAAGAAAGGTCAAAATATGCAAATCACGAAATTAGAGGTATTATGATACATTTTGTAAAGTCAATCATAATTAAAGTCAGTTATAATCCCACAAAACAATCGTTTCTTTTAATTTTCCTAAGTATGTCTTTTTTGTTTGATTTTTTATTATTTTTGGAAATACTCTGATTTTATTTAAATATTCTTGCTCATCTGGAAGTACGTATAAAAGCTATAAAGAAGGGAAGTTACCAAAACATGTATGATATACATTTCCCGGCCTAAATCCACCTTTACTTGTATACAAAATTTTGATCATCACATACATACAATTATATGCATATTTTAAATTTATTGATAATATAAATTGTTTCACTTACCGTTTAAGAAAATACCAAATTGTATTCGAAGTTTTACAGTCAAGATTTGAAAACGTATGTTTGGTTCTACACATGTTATACGTCCGATGAAGGCAACGATTGCACTGCAGAATATATTGACCTTCTCGTCAGCAAAAATAAATTCCCTGGTAAGTATACAAATTGAAATTGAAAACGGATAGATACTGTTAAAAAGTGACTCGTCTGTAATTGAAAATAGCAAGTAAGCCCAAAGCAAGTTATTCGGCATATAGACATACCTATATGTAGTTATTGTGTACCCCCAGTAGCAGATTTGTTTTCTTTATATAGCTACAAGCGAGGTTTCATATTTAGTCTTTCACTTGTAATTCAACAAGGTATTTTTGAAGTTTTTGCTGCTTCTTGAAAAAAATTGTGTTTTGTCAATTAAAATTTAATTTGCTGTATCCTAGTTACTAACCATTTCCCTACAAATTTCAATTTACCTAACCCAATCCTTTGTTTCTATTCCCCTTACTATTGTACCTGTCGGTCTTTCACTTAAATACATTTTTTACTGTTATTTTTCAGTTTCCTTAATTTTCAATAACAACACCTTGTATTGTCCCTTTTCATTTATTATCTGGTGCCGTCCTGGCTTCCGTGTAGATGGTGTTTTGTAGCTGAATTGGTTTCGGGCTGTGTTCAAAGAATGCCGCCTTTCCTTGTTGATATTTGTTCAAAAAGTTTGTACGTGCCTCGACAAAGAAGTACTCGGCGTTCGGTCTTGCTTGAAACTGTAAGCCTTGTCCTATGCTATTGCTTTCAGGATGATTAAATCATGAAATTTATATATGCATGTTGCACATATATTGGCAGATTCGAGCGATAGTGAACTTGATCTTCAGGGTCTTCCTTGGCATCTTATAGCTACAGACCTGAAAACTCATTTTAACATGGATATGTCCGATGACAAAGTGAAATTTTCGTGGAAAGGACCAGGTATGGAATCTAAAAGTTTTATTAAATACATAAACTGAATCACTTATGATAACATATTCCTTTTATTTAAGTGTTGCGTCTTGACGTATTTGTTCGTAAACTTTTACACTATTTGGAACAGTTTTAAACACGATAATGCAAGAAGTTTTTCGATGAATTCTAATATCACTTAAAGTAAAAAAATCAGGTCCTTAATGTTGATATGTGTTTAACAAAAAATCGTAAAGTTTAGATAATGAAAAGCCTTTGGTGACCTATCGCCTCTCCGTGCATTATTTCAGGAACGATTTGATTACCTAACTTAGCCATAAGCTTGTTGGATTATTTAATATGTAAGTTTATTTCAAAGAACAATATTTAGGTTATTTTCTGAAATATTTAAAAACATATATATGTAAACTTGGCTACGGGTTTCTTTCAGAATGTGGATTTGATGGCAAAGTGATCAAAACTAGCGGTGCGAGCAATGGCAGACAGAACATCGTTGCTTTCTTTGTTATCATGTCATTATACACGCTTCTATTCTAAATATATATAAGTATTTTACTTATACAAGGGATGGTCCAGAAACACCCGGTATAAAGCCATAAATCCAGTTATATTAATTAAAAGTTCATATAAAAACAATGCGTAATATATCCTTTTTATATTGAAACAAGAATTATAACAATCAAACACATTAAGATCACCACAGGCATATCTAAGCAAACATAGTGATGCACATACTGCGTAAATGGTATCAGAACGCCATAAGCAGTGAAGTCAAAACAAACATAAATGTTTCCAAAGTATTTACCGCTGTGTGCGCCAATAAGGTCGATGCCTAATAACTCATAAGGTGAATGATAATGTTCTTATGCAATAAAGAGTCATCTGTTTAAAAATGCGGATGTCCCTTACCGCTAGTTTGGTGTGCTTACAACTCAAATCTATACGTCTTATACAATTGTTGTTTGATAGTGGAAAAATCAAACTTATCTTAAGTTAAAGACATAAAATATATCCATTTCTTTATATCATTTGAATAAAGTTGTGTATGATAAAATTAGATATTTAAAAAAAAAACGACAAATAAAATGTACGAAAAAATGTTGTTGTTTTCGTTTATCGTAGCTGATTATTCCTAGGTAACAAAGCAAATGAATCCATCGGTTTGGATTAAGTTAACTTTGTATCATTATATGAATAACTTTTAGATAAAAAATTAATACTGGTCTTTGAGCTGCAAATTGTTGACAAAAGTTTGTGAATGTGCCGTTTCGATGCAACTAAAAACCGTTGTAACTTGATTACACAATAATCCAATAAACAAATAAAGTGATATTTTAGCATGACATTTATCGGCTTTTACACCAAGCTACAAGGTCCATTTTTGTATCAGACATTTGTGTGTATTTATAAAATTTCAACATTGGTCTTTGAGCTGCACCTCTGTGGCGTTTCTATGATTATTTAAGGCGGCCTGAGATGGTACTGGATCATTAAATCAATTATATTTTGCAATAAAGTAGATGAGACATCTTTTTTGCGCAAGTATATATTAAATTAAGAAACATAAAACAATCGGAATTATAAATAAATATGTCAATTACCTATTTCTAGTAGTAAGCTGATTTCTCCTTATCAAAATTATATGGTTCAACAATAAATTATATTACTTTTGTCTGAGGGATTATTTTTTTTTAATTAAGGTTAATAATTATATGAGCAACGTTCACACTTTCGAAATGGACGACCGTTTCTGAACAAATTATTCCGGCTTTTGACTAATTACTAAACATGCCCGTATTACAAGACAAATTTAAATTTTTAATTTAATGCACTTGTAACTCCATTATTCAGAACAATTTAAAACGGCATATGTGAAAAGGATACATATATTTTTTAATAAATTTGATTCAGCACGAAAATGCCTCGTTTTATATTTTTCTCTTTTTTGTTCGCAAGAAGCGAAATAACTCCAAAAATATAAATACAATATTTTTGTCCAAGATACATCCCTTTGTGCAAAAGTAACAATGAAACGTTCAAGTCGTTAGCGTGGTGCGCACGAGATATTATGTCGTTGCATCTTTTTACTTAGTTGTGCGCACGAAATAATTAAGAAGTGCGCAGTAGATAATTTAGTGGTGTACAGGAGATACTATGTCGTGCGCACGAATTACTAAGTCGTGCGCACGAAATAATTAAGTCAAGTCGTTGGCCTGAGTTTCTATGTGGTGCGAACGAGATAATAAAGTCGTGAGCAAGAGAAAATTAACCAATCAGATTACACTAGGATTTTTTTTAAACTTAGAAAATTTCCAGTTAAAGTTTTACATGCAACATCAATCCTTTAAAGTACTGAAGGTATTCACTTTAAATTTGATACATGTCTTTAGGATCACATTTGGAAGTTCCTGTCCAAGGCCCATAACTCAGACATTAATTAAGACTAACCCTGTAATAGAGTTGATCAGTATGTACGTACTAACAGCCTATTAACCTGTCTATATGAATACTTGAGAAGAAACGAAACTGAAATTGAATAAAAATTTGGAAACTAAGTGATCCCTCGGAAGCATTTATCGCAATAAAATTAAATGAAGGGAGAATGAAGTAGTGCAACACCCTTCTCGGCCCCTAGCACCGGCTTGAGCGGTACCCAATTCTCATTGAAACCCTGGTTTATTTTATTAAGTAGGGAAATGGCCCTTGGACAGTGGATGACCTAATATATTGACGTTTAAGGTCAGAAGGTAAAGGTAACCATGACTCTTTATGTAGAATCCTTGTCTGAGAAATAACTTGAGAAGGAATAAGCCATGGTTTATATAACGTAGTATGGATTTCACCTGATTAGTAGATGACACTTACTGATTTTAAGGTCATTGGGTCAAACATCAGGGTCAAAATGACGCTAAATATAAAATCATTGTCCAATTAATCACTTGTATATATGGCACTGTGACAGACAGGCCAAATAGGAGCATCATTGTCCTATGGCACATTTCTAGTTACTTCAGAAAATTCATAAATATACCGGTATATTAATCTGATTGGCTTATTATTGTTCCCACGACTTAGTAACTCGACGCCACGACTTAGTAACTCGACGCCACGACTGAGTAACTCGACGCCACGACTTAGTAACTCGTGCGCAGGATATAGTCACCCGTGCGCACCACTTAATTGTATCGTGCGCATGATTTAGCAACTCGTGGGGGCTGCCGAACTACTTCTGATTAAACTGGATATTCGAATAAAGGGTTAAGTAACTCGTGCGCACCACTAAATTATCTCGTGCGCACGACTTAATAATTCGTGGCCACGAATTAGTAAATCCTTCACACGACATAGTATCTCGTGTCCACCACTTAATTAAATCGTTCGCCCGACTTAGTAACTCATAGTCACGGCACAGTAGCTCATGCCCACTTAATTATCTCATGCGCAATTAATACCTCGGAAAAAATAAAAACGAAAAAAAAAAAAAAACACATAAAATTCCGTGTGCACCACATTATCATATCGAGCGAATTTATACTCACTGGCAAAAGATATAAATAGCTTGACGAAAATTTTAGATATTAACTACCTTAGAAGTTGAATGAAGAATTATTTCGTATCCTAACTTGTGATGATACAAACCCCAACCAATTTAATAGTGTCAAGCAAATTACCACCATTATTGACATCGTATAATGGTTAAGGTCACGAAAAGTAGGTTTTATTAAGGATTCAAGAAAGTTTGTAAATTATGGTTGAATACTCGAATAAAGAAGATAGTCGCTGTGTTGACATATACTTATTGATGTATGAATGTAATTTCAATATTCCATAGAAAACATACATATCAAAAAAATATGTTTATCATACCAGGCAATCTTAAGAGTATCTTTGCATCCCGCGCCAGCTTGAGTCAGGTATGGACAAATCTATAAAGAAGACATTACAAAGTCTTATTAATATAATTCCAAGATTGCAAAAACAATATGTTTATGTGAGACAAATCTGATCTTTTTTATGTAAAATCTATATTTTTGAGCAGCAGTGATTGTTGTGGGGGAGGGAAAAATGATACTCAGGCCTTGCATATTCAAATACAATTGCTTACCAAGATATAGTCAAATTTATAACAAACATTAGTGTGTAGATATTTTGATAGGCATTGAAAAAATTAAACCTTTATAAATATTGATTTCAAATTTATAAATTGGCAGATGTTATTTTTTACTATTAAATGGTTTTAAACATATTTTTTTCCGAATATATGCATATTTGTATATACATTTACAACAATACAAATCTTACATTTTTATATTTAACATACTAGTCAAACTTGTTAACTTTCCTAGGATAAGCTACTACTAACCATGCTAACCGCAAACAACATTTTTTCCTTACTAATTGTCATCTTAGATTTAAGCAATATTACTAACATTATTTTATTTTAATTAAAATGTAATATGATTTGAATAGGAATATATAATAAAACAAACATTTCGTAGATACTGTACACTAATTCCAAGGAGAATTTTGCAACTGTAAATTAGTCGAAAGTTCGTTTCAATCGTCTTATGCCCGTTTCGAGAAGAGAATATAATGCCTAGAAAAGTTTTGCAGAGAAACCCAATCGAACGCAAAAATATCGGCGATCAATTATATTTAATTTCATATATTTATTGAAAAGCTGCTAGAAACATCTAGAAAATATCATTATAATAATTGTGTTTTTATATTTATTCTGACTTATATCTGTTCCAACACTTGTTGCCATCGCGCAATCCGAACAGACCTCTACCTATAACGGAAGCTCTTCTAAAGTATCAATCGAACAGGGTATTAGTGTTAAAATGACCAATGAAATTTCTGCCTATATTCATTTCTTTACTGTTATTTTTAGCGGAAGTCAAGGTGAAATCAGACGACCTTTGGCCGAAAAAGGGATAAGAACGGAAGTCCAAGGCTTATACAATTCTTCTCCTTAGATAATACTTTTAAATGAGTATGATTTAATACTTTCGTAATTAGTTTTACCACAGTCCACATAAATTGTGACTGAAACCTTTAACACTCCGCTTAAAACTGCTTTTCCCATTGTCATAAATAGCCCCACATTAAAATCCATGGGTGGACCATGATGATACCTAATGAATCTACCAAGTTCAAGATTATGAAGGAACCTAATACGGACAACGCCATATCGCTTCCCCTTTTGATTTTCCCTACAGAAAAGAGTACCGAAACCAATGACTGCAACTTATGAAAACTTTTATTTCCATTACAAAACCGGTACCTTGTTTCCCGGGATACTTTAACCATGGTTTAGCCCGGTATAACTTTCACCGCAATGTCTAATTACCATGTCTAGAGAGAAAAAGAGAATTTAATTAGTCATAAGTATTATTAAATCTCATACCAAGTTGATGTACATATTCAGTACATATGTATCCAAAAGTCTTGCAAATCATGACCAGGACATTGTACAGGGTTACAAGTTTTCTGACCGTCCCTTATTGTCGATAAACCATTGATCTGAGACTACTCACATCCCTCAGTAAATGACATAAATAAATTGCGAAGTTTCCAGATGGTTCCTATAATGCAAAAATATGCGGAAATTAAGCTTTCTTGTAAACTAATGACTAGAGCCAGCAAAACAGTATTTAATTATTAATTGTTATTTTTACCTACATACTGTAGTATCAGGTCATACTGAAATAAAGTGTTTGTTCTATTTTGAACGTTGCTTATTTAAGATTTATAGCACTCACCAACTCATGTCGAGCTCTATGCAAAAACATTATGTAATGATGATCAAACATCAAAACACTGGACCATACTTGGCAATGGCAGATCCTCACTAATGTTTTGTATCGTTCAGTTCTGTTTGATTCCTGTTTAATATTTATCACTCCAATAGCTCACATGTTTTCTTAGAAAAGACATGAGCTAAAATTGAGGACAGATATAAATCCTACCATCGCATAGACCCGGTATCAGACTCTATACAGAAGTCTAATGTAACAATGAGCCAAAATCGGATTGTCGATGGCAAATCCTTAGTACCTTTTCATTCCTTTTTTAGGTATTTTTTACAGTTTCTCTTCTGTTAGTTATCATTTTAAGATTACTCGCTTAATAGCTCACCTTTTTCTTTTAAAAAGACCAGCAAAATTGAGGACATCCCTAATTCCTTCCATGTCATTAACCCAAAAGTTGACTCTATAGGAAACATAACGAAAACATGAGTCAAAATCAAATTGCGACACCATACTTGGTGATGGCAACCACTCAACAGTTTTTTTTAAAACTATAGGTTATTTTAAAATAAACTATTGTATGCTTATGTTTTAACAGAAGAACCTTAGACTGCAAAATTTAGACAAATCATACGAGTACATATTAAATTTGATATTGATAAATAACATGTATAGCATTCATACCGAACTTCCCGTATTTTTATATTTTGTATGCTGGTCGATTTAAAGTACATGATATCTTTAAACCAAATGAAATTTAAAAGCCATTTTGAAAAAATTCCTGAAATTGGTTACATTCTACGTTTGGAGCTGAAACATTGGACGAGTCGCACCAAAATGAAATATTTGCATACTTTAAAGCTGTAACCCTTGTCAATTTAGGGGAACAAATGTGTATTTACTATTTTAATTTTTACACACATTCCGATAATTAAATCGTCCCGACAGCATCTCAAAGCACAAAATGCCCACATGCAATTCTTATTACTGTTTGATTCGGGAGTTTAGCCCCTTTTTAAAGTGGCACTGTGTATTTCTTTCACAAATCTGTCCCCATTCTATCTTGAGTTAATGTAACTATAATTAAAATGTTCCAATTGGTAGAATTTTCAATACTTAAAGCTCTATATCAAATGAACAAGTCACCTAGTCAAAACTCTACGTATTTGTGTTATCGAGCATTAATAACAACTTAAAAAATATAGAGAGTTTGTTTAATATTATTTTAACAGTATCTATGTCCAATAAAAGTTTTCATGTATACTTTAGACCCGTGCCAACTTTACAAACTTTGCGGAAGACAAGATTCTTTCATATTTAATAGATCTACACGTATATAATATATATATATTTTCATTGTCAAGTTGAGATGAATTGATACTGTGTATTTTAAAAGATATACTGTTATAATGAATTTGACCAACAGTTGATATTGGTAAATGGTAGGAATAAAATATAAATATGCCTACAATATAAAAATACTGCCCTACTTTTTTATAGATTTATGTTATAGGCAAATTTGGAAAGACATTTTTAACTTTTAATAGGCCACGTTAGATAAGTTTAGTTCATGCAAAGTACGTATGTTTTAAAATAGAAATGAATTAAGGCAAAATGTAAACTTATTATGCACTCACTATATACCCTTAGATGGCATAAACCCACTTTAAACATGTTAAATAAAACATTTCCTTTCAAAGTCGATAGTCGCATAAACCTCGCTTTACATCAGTTATTTAAACATTATACTATATTTCAAATCATGTGCAATCCTATTTTACATGTATATGTACATGTATGTATATTTAACATGTTGTTTTCTAGGTTTTTTTGTAAACTCTCATGACTCATTTTGAGTGTTTAGATAATTTTATGTAAGGTATCCTACAGAATATACAGTAAATGGCAAGAAAACGAGACGTTAATAAATATTTGGCTTGTTTTGTTTATTTTATTTTTTGAGACTTTTAACTTTTGATTAAAATACACAATGTGCTGACGTAGCTACATTAAAAACCAAAGGCAAACATAGTTATTTCTTTTCAGAAAGGCCTAGAGTGTTAAGCAATGATTATTATAAATTTACCAGGAAACACATGTATTGACGGAATTTTATTGTAAAAGAAAGCCTGATTCATTTGCAATAATTTTTATTGCAATGTTTAAAATCAACTTAAAATGGTTATAATTACAGTAAAATATAAACATTTTCGTTTTTAAACTCGGAAGTGATGACAACGATTCTGTTCTACCAAATCAAAATTCAAACCTACTCATTATGATTCAATAAATACACACATCGAATGTTAACTTCCTGTTATGTCTTACTGACATGTGTGAAGGGAACGCTTTACTTTTAACACGGCGGCTTGAATACAAAAGTTTTAATTGTAAATTGTAAAAGCGAAAACAATTTAATTTAAACGCTCTTGTGGTATTTACTACAAATATAAACGTGCATCAAACACTCCTTCTGATAATACTTTAGTGGTTTTATAAACCCAATTTCATTCAACACGCGTGATAGTATTTCGTCCATAATTAGTTTAAAACCGAAAGTGAAAGAAGTTTTAAATATTTGAATGAATAGTAACACTGCCAAACTATCAATTGCACTTGCAATATTAAAATCTGGAAAAAAGTGATCTCTAAGAAGCAATAAACAATTTTTATCACTTGAAAAGATATATTGTGTTTTATAAAATAAAATCTTCATCCCTACGCGAACTTCTTTATGTCGGAGTCATTTTTATCCTCATTTGGGATGAATAATGCGTCGTATCACACAGGTCGATATTTTAGAGACCTGTGTGTATACAATGGTTATGTACAGACCTGAAACACTGGTTATGATGATCTTGCGTAAGTACTTTATTTTTGATATATATTTTTTTTTATTTAAAGACTTTATGTTAATTGGAATTTTCTAGGTTTAAACATAACCATTTTATACAATAAAACATATATTTAATAAAATTTGTTAGCTGGTACGTGATCACTGTAATTCTTTAATGTGATAAGTTTGCAAGTAATAAAGTTGATGGTACGTGGCTAGTTTATTTTATTCTTGGGTGTTAAAGTAATATAGTTGTGATATTAAGAAATTAAAATCGTGTTAAAATGGGACATTACTTTTCTTTTATTCATAATAGTCCACAATGAGGCTATGTAAATGATACATGTTTATTCAGTACAACATTTACATTTTATACTTCGGTAAATGAATGGTAGTAGCGTTAACGATCGATATTAACACTTTCATACCGAAAATAAAATGAAATGTTGGTGTACATAGATTTACGTTTTACATATCTTGAATGATTAGTGGTATTCTGCAGCAAGTGACATTTTAGAAAGAGATGTTAACAATTCTAAAAATGACATAAACCAAGTTTGTTATGTTGCTCATATTCGTTTAATGTTAAATTCGTTTGCATCGGATGATTAAAATAACGAAATTTGGTTTAATTATTTTCTCCTAGTACATCAACAAAGGAACTTTTTTATAGTCTTCATTTTGGCATAGCGCCCTAGAGATATTCCAAAACGGGTTGAATGAAAATGTTGCAGGCTCTTTTAATCAGTCTATTCACGAACAAGCAATGCATACTGGCGTCAAAACTCCCTATTATCGGCCTTATCGGCCTAAGCATAATTCAACGTCTAATAAGAAATGGTAAACATTTGAATTAAGGAGTCTTATACACTATTTATAAGACTTGTGTGATTTAAATTTCGTGAAATCTTTTCAGGTCAATTCATCAGTCAAAATTCAACAAAGACAAAAGTAATTCTAAAACATCCCAAATGCTAAACTGAGCTAAAATGTAGTTTTAATTAGACTTTGTCACATTTTTATGTATAGTTAAGCTTACAAAACTTTAACACAAATAGACATTTTGTCACACTCAATTAAGCGTTGCCAACGGAACGGTTGCATTCAAAATACGAAATAAGTGTTAAAGATATTAATTTTTAAGGAGAGCGGCAGACAGTTTAATGGTTAGGTTGATTACCTTTCATCCACTGATCACAGGACCGAGCGCAACTAGTTTGAAGCATTAGACTTTTTGATAGAGTAATGGATTGAGTATGTTTCAATTTTGTTTAAACGGCGATGATAGTTTGCCAAAAATCGGTAAAAACCTTCACACTAGAGTTTTATCAAGTACCAAAACACGTCAATACTTTGGATACTAGTTATTCCGTCAATAGAATCGCGCTTAGAATGGTATAGTCCTTGGAAATTTCGGTGATGATTTATTTTTTTTTATTTTGGTTGGGAAAAAGTATATTATTAAACAACAATTAATGATGTAAGCACTTTAACTTTTAGAGAATGTCGGCAAAAACAGAAAAAGAGGACGATGTTTATGCACAATTAGTCAAGGGTGTGGTCACATCGGTGCAGTTAGAAACATTATCTGAAGAAGCGGAGCGTATTCGCAGTACAATTCATTTCTATCTAATGGCCTGGCTTGATGAAGTTGAAGAAATAAATCCGCTGTTTAAGGTTAAAGAGTTGATTGGAGTGGGTAGTTATGCTGAGGGAACAAAGATAATCGAACCGAATGAGTTTGATTACTTAGCTGTAATTGATGACTTCTCCAAACCAGGTCTGTTGAAAATAGATCTAGGGGAATCAAGTGTTCACGAAGGATTAGTAAAAGTCAAAGTTGAAGACGATGATTTAAAGTCTAGATGTGGCCAGCTTTGTCAAAGTGGCCATTTACAATGCTTTCAACCAATAAATTTTCCAATGTCAGGTGACAATCGATTCGGACATGTTTTTATTGAGGCACTTTTTAAGTATGCAAAGAAAAATGGAAAAGGAGGTTACCCGATAATCACATGTCAAATTGATTTACCAATTGTGAACAATATATCCCTCTTGCTTACAGAAGTTGATTATAATTCACCTAATGTCCTCATCTGTTTCAAATACAAAGGCAAGGAAATAACAACTGATATATCCCCAGCAATAAGATACTTTCGAACAGAGGACTGCTTTAAAAAAGAAGATTGTGCAGGTCCGGTTTTTGCAGAACTTGTTCTGAGTCGTAAATCCCTACTGCTGATTGGAGCTTTTACTAGAAACGATTCAGATTTTAAAATCACTGTCACTGAAGCTGAGGTTGAATACATGAAGACAGTGATGAAAGCTGAACACAAAACCATCTATATATTTTTAAAATATATAACAAAATTATACAAGGACAAAGTATACAATGTATATCCGTTTACTTCATATATGCTAAAATCGGTGTGTTTTCACCATGATATTAAATGTGAACCCGGAAAGAGATCAATAAGGCATTGTTTTCAATTGGTGATAGAAGATCTAATGGTATGTGATCAACAAGGGTATGTTATTAGTATTGTTAACAAGCATATGCACCTTGTGTTAAACAAAGACATATCCCTATACAAGAATATCAGAAGAAGTAATATGCTGACAGACATGAAGAAAATGAGCATTTTGCCCCAAGGTATCAACACGGTTGATGCATTTCATGAATATGTAAGAAATTTCGTGCTGGAATTGAAACAAATTAGAGATAAAGGTATTGCTGTATACAGTATAATTATTAATTTGTATACAAACATAGAATATAAGTTCAGTAAAATATATACAGATAAAATGTAAGTCTGAAATAAATCTAAAAATACTACAGTAATGAAAATGTTAAAGACTCGGTCAGATAAAGCCTGTGTGTCACCTTTTCTCGTACACATTATTATATAGTATTTTATCACATAAACTGCGGCGCAGAAGTACAATAAAGTCATTTTAATAATCAAAGGGCTGCAAGTTCTCTGGTATTTTCTGATCTTTGCAATCAAAGTTGTACTGTATATCTGTATGTATTTTTCTGTATATGTTTTTATGTGAGATGCAGCGACTGCGTTTACATTTTTACTATAACCGTTTGAGTTTGATACATACGGAATTTTGCATGACAAGAGTTGCATCAAAAAATCATTTATGTTCATTTTTATGACATCCACACTTTATGCTTGAGTATCGTGGTTACTTTCATAAAAAAGAAACTTAAAACATATTAATGAAAATAGTTGCCTCTACTCGGATTTGAACCCCAGACCGCTCACATCCTAAATTAGCGCGTTTCCCCTGCACCACATGAAAGTTAAAAAAGAAAACCCGAATAAAAATAAATAATTCTAAATTAAGAATTTCCATTTAGGGTTTGTCATCCTTATAAATTTTGAGGTATTTTGTTCACAATAAACCTGGTGTTTAACATTGAACGAAAACCTTCTCGCCAAAACAGTCTGACATGTATATATGCCACTACTCGACAGTCAGATTTATTTGTGTTATACCGTCAGGATCATTCGGAAATCGACAATGATTAAAATGATACACGTCCGCGAAATTTGTGATTGTGCATTTGTTGACAATTCAATAAGCCAACGCTACTTTTAAATTTTGAATGCGTTGTAATTTCTTGGATACTTGAAACAAAATAAAAAATATTCTTTCTTTTACATCGCTAGTGAGAACTACTTGTTGTTAGGTTTGTCGTGAGGTGTTGTGCCAGAGATTGAATGTCAGCATTGTATTTCCTAATCTGCGATTAGAAAATACGAAAACGATATATCACTAGACGATATTACACTAGACTTAGTGTAATAACACTTTGACTTAACGTCATTTGCGCTACTAACATAGCGTTAAAGCGCGCTAATGTTAACATTACACTATGGGCGCGGCAAATAAAAATTACTCTTGTTAAAAGTTTACCGTTCTTATGTTACATATGTGATAAATAGTAAGAGCATATTTTTTCGTTTGAGTGAAATATGGAATATATTTCCACGAAACATGATAAAATGCCACATATTTTCACGAGCCGGGACGGCGAGTGAAAATATGTGGCATTTTATCATGTTGAGTGAAAATATATTCCATATTTCACGAAAACGAAAAAAAAAATCCTTTTTATTTAATTCAACTATCAAGGAAAAATGGTTACGAACCCTATTGCTTGCTACGCAACTGCAATTGTACAGCGCGCAGTAATATATCATTGCGTCTTGTTTTGCACGCGATATTTGGCGCTATCTTGTGCGTCACGTAAACAATTGTTTAAACGTCTGTACAGCGTTAATAACTGAATTAAAGATATTGGTGTTCGGATTTATTTTCTTAGTTAGACCATTTTCTATCATTCTAGATAGTTTTCAAAGCAAAATTCAACAAAAAGTTGTTTTGTATCTATCAGATTTTTTAAACAAAATGGCGGAAGAAGTCCCTTAAAAATATGAGTTTTGACTCCGCCCACTTTCATATTTATATTTCATATTTATTTTTAAAAAATATGACATATATTTGTCTGATATAGCAGTAAAATTAAATAGAATATAATATTCGTGTAGATTCAATACTAAATTTATTGAACACTTTAAATAAAACTATATTTTGGTCGCCAGAGTCTCGCATAATATGACTTTATTCAACTCGTTCAATAAATTTAGTATTAAACCTACATTCATTCAATATCCTCTATGTCTTTAATATATTCTGCAACGGCTTTATGTTATAAATGTGTTGAAGTAAAAACAAATGGAATGATCTCGAATCGAGTTTTATATTGACTATTTACAGCTAAGTACACACTTAAATCTTATTCATTTTGTTCTGACAGAGACATATCAGCATAAAAGATAAGTTAGAAATTATATTTTATCTTTTTATGAAGAACAAGATGACACTAACAAATTGAATGCTACAATGCACAGAAGGTTTAAAGAAAAAATCCAAAGGGAAGTTTCGAAGTTGGCAGATATGGGATTTGACGCTGATGAAGCCGAAATTGCTTTGAAGAGAGCCTTAGATGACCCAGAACTGGCTTTGGCAATACTCAGATATGTATGTCCATGCTTTCGTTATATCTTTTATAGTATTTATGATAAGATTTGCCAACAAAAGTGAGTGCAATTGTCGGAATATTTTATTTTGTTTGACAATAAATTTATATAATATAAAATGGAAAGACATTGTCGCACAATTTATTCATAAAAATACATACTGAGCTCAAAAAGTCATTTTATTATATACTTATAAATGAAATATTGAGCAATATTGATGAAACAAAATGCGTATTTTCAGTTTCCTTATTTTCACTGTTAAAAATTTGTTTTCACTGCAGTGAAACATATTTTCCGTATTTTCACTGGTAACTTGCCGGACTACTTAATTCTTAATTCAGCTAATACACAAAATTAAAGAAGAATTCTCAAGAATGTATGGTGATAAAAGAGAAAAAGTATATAATAAACAGAAAATTCAAGTTCTTTTTATACAGGATTTAGTTTAATCTTGTGATATGAAAATGGTCATACTTCACTCGTGAAATATATATTTTGATACCACTTGATGAAAATTAATCCTGTATTTCTAGAAAAAAAACTTGAATATCCTCTATATATCATGATAGTGATTGTATGTCTTTGTTGTGTAAGCAATATTCAAGTGTGAAGTAAAAGTCATTATAAACAATTTGCCGGCTTACAATTAAATACAATCAAATAGAGAAAAACAGAATCCCTAAAGAAAACCCAACACAGCAATATTGATAATTGTTGCAGGCTCGGTTTAATTGAGCCTGTTCATGGACGGTACTGGAAAGTGCAAATCAAAACCTTTTTAAGGGCAAATGTACTCCGTCTCATAATTATGTATACAGTTCCTTGAAATAATTATGAAGTTCAAATTATGCTATCTAATATACAGGAGGTAGTGTTTTACAGATACACTTCTAATAACAACATACTTTATAATAATATCATTGATACTATGTAATTGATTTTATACAAAGATTATTGACAGAAAATATTGGTTGATTTTGCAGGACGCCGAAAGACGGGCTAAAAACCAGATAGTGGAATCAGAAATCTACCATCCGAAGAATCGTCCACCAACTTCCGTTCAGTCTAATGTTCCGGCGGTATGCTGTCCAAGTTCTGTTGATACATCATTACATTTAACACAGGGGTCTCAAAGTGATACAGATACTCAACATTGCTCTACCACAACGGTCAATGAAGAGGTGATAACATACTGATACCTTACAAAATTGATTTTTTGTTCTACTAATTTTTACAGAAAAAATATTATCGAACTATGCAGACAAAAAAACTTTGTTTTTAAAAATTCATTTTTTTTTTAGCGAGCAAGCAAAAGAAATCGTTTTAAAGCAAGCGAAGGAAAAAGATCCCTTATACATTTTCAGTTTTGAGTAAAGAACGAAGCTCCTAAACCCCCACACACCTACCATTTTTCTATACATTGGTCGATTTATTATCTTGTAATTGAAATGAATCCAGATGATACAAGGGATAACCTTAGACTGAAGCGTACTTTCTTTTCAGGAAACAATAGGAATATGTTTGAATTAAGCTGAAGTGATGCTCACAGTCAGTCAAGGCTGGGGGTCTTCAAAATGTTTCACTCTTCTTATGATATGTTTTATAAAATAGTTATATTTAAATATACATGAAATATATTCATAAAATGTTAATAAGTAGAAACGTTGTACATGTAGAAGTTTTGGTTCCGGGAAGCGTTTTTAAATGACCCGTAACTGTGACCTTGACTTTTGATCTAGCTACCTAGTTCATGCACATGACATGCTGCTCATGGCGGTAAACATTAGAATCGCTCCAAATGTGTAGGAGACATAAATCTGGCCAAAATTTATATTTTAAGTGACCTTGACCTTGCATATAATGACCTAAGTTACATGTTTCACACCCGTAGTCATGATAATGGCCATTTGTATTTAAATCCCTCAATAAATGATGAATAAATTCACATTTTCGTACTTTTATCTGAATTTTGTTCCCATGTGTGACACTGGCCTTGGCGGCAGGGACCAAAATTTGAAAGTGACACTCTGCCTTACAATGGTGAACATGTGTGCCATGTTATATTGAAATCTAAGATTAACTCCGGATAACCTTTTACATGACCTCTAAGTCTGACCTTGATCTTTGGCCTAGAGATATGATTCTTACGCATGACACTGCTTCTAATAGTGGTTAACATTTCTATGAAGTTTCATTAGAATCCCACCATATTTGTGGACATAATCTCTATATTTTTTCATCTTTAGTAACACTGACCTTGCATATATATACCTTATTTACATGTTTCACACCCGTAGCAATGATAATGACCATTTGTGTTTCAATCCCTCAATAAATGATGACTAAATGGTCCAAATGCACATTTTCATATTTTTATCTGAACTTTGACCCCTATATGTGACCTTGACCTTGGTCACAGTGACCTAAATCTAGCACACTACACTCTGCCTTATAATAGTGAACATTTGTGCCAAGGTATAGTGTATGTAGAAGTTTTGCTCCAGACAAGCCATTTTAAATGACCTCTAAGTGTGACATTGACCTTTGACCTAGATAGCAGAGACCGTTTTTAAATTATAGATACACTTTTAGTAACAACAAATTTTATATTACTGAAGATACAATATAATCGATTTAAAACAAACTTTAAGATTATTAAAAGGAAATATTGGTTGCTTTTGCAGGACGCTGAAAGACTGACCAAAACCAAGACAGTGGAATCAGATGTCAACCATCCGAACAAATGTCTTCCAACTTTTGTTCAATCTAATGTTCCGGCGGTATATTGTCCAAGTTCTGTTGATAAATCATTACGTTCAACACAGGAGTATCCAAGAGATACAGATATTCAACATAACTCTGCCACAATGATCAAAGAAGAGGTGATATGCTTGAATATTATAATAGTGTTGTATCATGACAATACAATATGTCTTTTATTGTATAAAAAAGAAAATAAATTGTTTCAAATGAAAAAAGAAAACCATTTTGCCAGTTTATAATAAAGCAATATTTCAGCTTATATTTCTGTATAAAGCTCAGAGAAATGATTATGAAGTTCAAGTTATGATGTCATATATACGGGATTAAGCGTGCTATAGATACATTTTTTTAATTACAACATATTTTATAACAATATTATTGATGATACAATATAATCGATTTAAAACAAAGATTATTAAAAGGAAATATTGGTTGATTTTGCAGGACGCTGAAAGACTGACCAAAAACAAGACAGTGGAATCAGATGTCAACCATCCGAACAAATGTCTACCAACTTTTGTTCAATCTAATGTTCCGGCGGTATATTGTCCAGGTTCTGCTGATACATCATTACATTTAACACAGGAATCTCCAAGAGATACAGATACTCAACATAGTTCTACCACAATGGTCACTGAAGAGGAGATATATGAACGACAAAAACATTAAAAAGCCATTGTTTGACATGTAATTGAAATGGCATCCTAGAAAAAATGTTTAAGACTTCTTATGGAACTATGAAACACAAGGCGACATTTTATCAATTACAATAAACACTAAATAGCGATAGATGCAAAGAACGAAGAGAATCGTCTAATAGACTTACTGCAGAATAAAGAATAGTTGGGTTTTTCTCCAGCTAATCCGAGGGTAGAAATACACTTTTACAGTTTGAGCCCTGAAATTAAGCATAACATATTGACTTATCTATTGTGACCGATAGTGTACAGTGAAGATGTAAAACGTTACAAGTTTGTTTGTACCGAGGGATTCGCATGGAAAAACCCACATTTGCAGAGTTCCGGATAACATCTATTATCATAAAATATCATTCAAACATTTAGACAAGTATTAAAAAATCTTTGCCATCAAAACAGCTATATTGTATTCACGGAAACTGGAAAAAATTAAAACCTAAATCTAAAATAGTTACAAGACGTACTCTCTATCTTGGAGACTGTTTCTTTCCGCGAACATTTTTGGCGACTGCTATTAAAGTCGTCTGCTGATTTTATCCATTTTTGTGTTCGGCTGATTTTATCTATTTTTGTTTTCGGCTGATGATTTCGGCTTATTTTATCCATTTTTGTTTTCGGCTGATTTTATCCATTTTTGTGTTCGGGTGATTTTGTCCATTTTTGTTTTTGGCTCATTTTATCCATTTTTGTTTTCGGCTAATTTTATCCATTTTCTTGTTTTCGTCTGATTTTATTTGTATTTTTGTTTTTCGAAATAAAATGACCACCGAAAAAGAACATTGGAACCTTATATGAAAATTATATACCATACCAAATATTTCACTTTTTAATCTCATAAAGAAATATCAAATAACTGCCTTATATCCTTAATTGACTTTTGGTTATTAGAATTAATAATGTCAGGTTTTAATTTTCCAATTTATGTATATTTGTAATATGTATAGTATATAAGTAAAAAGTATATAGCACAATTTACTTACCACAATGTTTAAACAAGTTCTATGTATATGGATCATTCGTGCATTAGAAAATAAAAGAGCGGGACTTAGTAGTTGTCTCGGTATTATTTCAGAGAATTCCGATATATAGGTCACCACAGGGTAAACTGGTGTACATACAAAAATAGCAAACATAAAGGAGGTAGGCTACCTAACATCAGCATGTTTATATCTGTTAAATAGATATTCAACAACTTTTGAATAAATAATACATTAACCACAAAAACATTTAACAATGTATATTTCAAATATTTAAAAGCTAGGTGAACAAAAATTTCAAAATGTATGAAAAACAACAAAAGTATTAGTATATCAAATTTATTTGAATTTGCCATACTTTAGTCTAGTCTTGAATTTAATTAAAATACACTTTAAATAGTCAACATGAGTTTTCCATATATGTACATGTATATTATAAATTCTCCTCTGAAGCCATTCAGATTAGAACATGAAACATCATCTAGTAGATCTCTATCAATCTTTTTAAAATAAAAGCCCTTGAGTCAAAGTTGGCCCTGTCCTGGGAGGTTGTAGGCTTTCCTTACATGAATATAGTTAAATACTAAAAAGTCCACTCCTATAAAACGAAGTCCGTCTGTTATCGGTTTGACTTCCAGTAAAATTAACAGGGAAGGAATTAATATAAAAAGAATTTTCATTGGTCATCTTAAAATTACAAAATGAAATCGGTGAATCTCATTGCTCATTCTAAAATAAAATGTAAAGGTCAGTTCTAACCATTAAAAACATGTAAAGGATAGTTCTTTCCATTCTAAAATAAAAATTTAAAGATAGTTCTATGATACAATGTAAAGGATACTTTTGTCACTATAAAATAAAATGTAAAAGATAGTTCTAATGGAATGAGGATAGTTCTTTCAATTTTAGGTGAATTTGTAAATGATTACAAAATTTATAAAGTCAAATGGTAAACAAAAAAGGACACCTTGAATAAAGTTGTTCTTCTTTGAAAAATCATCAATATCAATATGCTATGATTTAATATCAGTTGTAACAAAATGAGTATTTTCTTAACAAATACAAGAAATAATTATCATTTCATTGTAATGCAAGCATCGCTAACATTTCATTCTGTATTGAAAACTTAAAAAATAACATACTTGTGCATGATAAAAAGATATACTTCGGCGAATGGCACATGCACGAAAACATTGCTAAACGATTATTAACCAACTTTAAATAGCATAATAATATCTTGTTTAGGATAATTTATTATTCTTTTTACGTATAATATTCATTACTGTTTAATAACAAAGGCATTCTATCTTTGCAACTTTTCCGAGGATCGGCCATGAGATTATGAAAAAAAATGCCGTTGATGAATTTTATTGATATTTCATTAGATGTAGCTTTATACCATTAAATTATTTACTAGTATTCATAAAATAATGATGAATGTATTCTTATAATATTAATATCAATATATACGACCTGCTTTGGCGGTGTATTTTTGCGATTGTATCTGTTTGTATCATTTAAATAAACAGCGAACTCATTATAATAATATTGATAAAATTTTCTTATCAAAACCAGAAATCTTTTATTACGATTTCAACTTTCATGTTCAAATGTATAAGTTAAATGATGTTTAAGCTGTTTCGGCACCTTAATGACACACATGAATCATAATACTTAATTACGTTCATATTTATGATAGTGCACATTTGTAACGTCGTTTTTCATTGGATAATCGTGACGTTATTATAATCTATATATAGGCTGCAGTCGAATCATAAATTTCTTATTTATAAAGATAATGTGATAATCAAAATATATACTATAAATATATTGGTCAAATATACGCAAAAAATGCAAAATTACATGCTCCTTTTAACCTAATTATTTTCTGGGTCACACTGGTTGATGTAAGCTTTAAACAAAGACCTTTATGAACGCCCAAAACGGTAAATTGAAAAACATGATTGAAAGACAGTAAATATGGACAAATATCATCAGTGAATTTGATATTGTTGGCGCATGCGTAGATCAGATAAGTAGTACGGTAATTATCTAGGAGACCTCGCATCGACGGTGTTTTCTGTTTAGATGTACTAGAAAAAAAATGAGAATTATTTATAAAATATCATATGTAAGGAAATTGTGTTTGTTTATTTGTTTTCTTGCTTGCTGTTATTATACAGGGCGCTTAACAAAAACACAGGTGTGTATAATTAAATTTAGTTAAGTCAATGATGATTTTGATATCAGATTTTATATACTTTGTATATAAAAAAGTGTTTATAACCCAAAATTTTATATATTTTGCATAAAACATAGTTATATATTTTACATATAATGTAATAACATACCGCACATGTAATGCTTCATCGAAGATTATCACATCACAAATTGAAACACAGGTAGATATACACGCGATATTATTTGGAGTTTATTATACATAGTAAACAGTGCATTTTAATATGAAGGAAACAATGAATTTTGTCTTCATAACCTTCTAACGTCATTCGCAATGTACCTCTGCCCTGGCATGTACAGAAGTTACCAATTCTTTGCAACTAGACAGCCGTCTAGGAACGATGCAGTGGCTGAAATGTGTTCTGGTGAATATTCAGTGTGGCTTACTGCTGTTATCCGGGGAGTAAACTATCAACACCACACAAAATGGTGGGCAAAGTTGAGCAACGTGTACGGCAGCATTTGGAATAGAGACAACATACATTTCATTTATTGGTGGTATTTCGTAATATCGACGTGACATGTGGTATTTTCTAGCAAAAACAACAACAACAACAAAAACTGTTATGTGCTAAAGTGAGCAGTTTTGGTAAATATAAAAACGACAACAACAGCAAAAACCAATTGCATTGTTGTTGTTTATGTGCTAAAGTGATCAGTTAGGATTTAAAGGTACTTGCCACGTAGTATTTTATAGCAAAACAAAATCTTAATTGTGGTTTATATGTTTTAAATGAACAATTTTGGTAAATATCGTCGTGCCACGTGATATTGAATAGCAAAAACAAAATCTTAATTGTGGGTTATATGTTTTAATTGAACAATTTTTGGTTAAAATCGTCGTGCCACGTGGTATTTCATAGCAAAAGAAAATCTTGTTTGTGGTTAATATGTTTTAAATGAAAGTTTTGGTAAATATCGACGTGCCATGTTGTATTTCATAGCAAAACAAAATCTTAAATGTGATTTATATGCTTTAAACGATCAGTTTGAATTAAATATCGTCCTGGATAAATCTTATGAGGCAAGTAATCTTCATTCTAGTTCTTCATAAAAATCTCATATTTTCTTAACGTAAACGATTAAGTTTTTAATACAATAAAGCATTAACATAAATAAAATAGACACAAATAAAACTATTAGAATATTTTGCTAAACATTATTAGCTATTTCAAAGTAATTACTACAGGATACAAATACATGAACATATTAAAGTGGATAGCTCTTCAAGTGGCACAATTTTCATAGAAAAAACATTTCAAATGTGGATAAAATATGGATAAAAACGAAATTGTAAATGTATCATCTGGCCCCGTGTTCACAAAGAAAAGATCAGGATCAGTTGATCCTGATTTTATTTTCATTGTTTTATAAACTAACACTGATCGTATTATGCTAGAATTAAATGGTAAAATTTGAAATATAAATAATTTCTTATTTGCAAAGAAACAAACCTATTTTGGGATAAAATCGACAAAAGACAAAACAAATACAAAAATAATCGGATCAAAATGAGGATCAATTTTAGGATCACGATCAAAATTTGGATCAACTGTAAAATACCCATATCTTGTAAAATTAACAATAAATTAATTCTAAAATTTCATAAACATGCTAATTCAGGTCCAGTTTTATCAAGTTATTACTGTAAAATTAATCTCTAAGGATAAATAATGGAGAATATTTCAGTTTTTAAATTTGATCCTGATCTTGATCCTGATACTTAAATCTTTGTGAACACGGGGCCAGGATATTATTATAGAATATTTATTGAAAAAAGCTTTTTATAAGATTCTAAGTAATTAAATCGGTATGTTGTAATTAAGGTTGTTACATCACTTATGTGTGTTTTTGCGTTTATTTATACTCGCAACCGGTTGCCCATATGGGCGAGTCCTCCAGAAGAGTATTAGTCATTTTATTTTTTGAAGGATACTGCAATTACTAACAACACTTAAGTGAAATTTTATATATGTATCACATGTAATTATGCTTCTAAACAATTTTCAAACATCGAAGCATATTTGAAATATGTACTGCAGATATTTTTTCCACATTATATTTAATCATAAAAATATATGCATTTATTTCTTATTGAAAAAATTGACTAGACTTTATAAAAAATAAAGTTCTAATTACATCCCTTTATTAACATGAAATTTAAATTCGGTTATATCTTTACAAATAATGCTTTTTGGAACTTACAATATTGATAAAATCTTAATTTGAGCATCATAATTATGATATAAAACCAAAAAAAATCATGTAATATTTTGTTCTACAACAATTAAGTTTGTGAAATATGTAATATCGGATCATTTATCTCACACTTACGAATAATATCCAAACATAATTCTTTCATATTTTGTTGCCATATATGCTGGCTACTAGATACTTTCAACATAACTATCTGTGCTATAAAAGTCCTTATTTTATGATGGATCAATTCATTTTAATATTAAAAATATGATGTTAGAAATAGATAAAGCCCAAGGTTGCGTATAGAGAATCTTTTAATAATACTGCACGTTTGTAATGTCTCTTTTCATTGGAAAATCGTGACGATTGTATAAATCTATACACGTCTCCCATCATTTAATGAAGCAATGCCACTTTGATTCTCTCAAGAAAGGAAGTTTCCTGTATTATAAAGACGTTATAAATATTCCCGATAGGTTATATGACCGTATATAAACGGTCGTATGGAAATATAACCCTCTCCTAGCGAATAGGGATATATATATATATATATATGTATATATATGCAAACCACATTAAATATAGGACCATATTGACTGTCAAATATCTTTATAACAATAATATAGACGCTTTATTAAACGTTCATTCTTTTGAGGATTGATTTGATTGTTAGTTTCTTACTAAGGAAGAACACTTAGATTCAGACTTAAATCAACAGTTTCATATGGGACTAATTTTGATATTAACGCCTATGTTATAATAAAAACGATGTTATCTTCCCGAAGACACGCAGGGTTATTATTATTATTATAATAGTTTTCTTCATCTTCTTTCTTTTGGCAATTTTGTCGATTAACTTGAAACTGTAAACCATGTAAGAATATGATAACAATTAAAGATAACAATGCAAGTTTCACATTGCTGAGGACTAAATTTGTAAGAAACATGTGCTACTTTATTTACTTAATTGGTTATCTTAAGGACACATCCAGAAGAACATTACACTGATGTCAACAAAACAGATAAATCCTTTCAATTCATTTAATATGTGGACTTTATCATCTTGAGTAAAGATTGCAGTTTCAGTTTCAGATTTATTGGCTTATCGACATACAAAATGCCTTTACAAATATATAAAGGATAGCCAAGATATCACAAATACTTACAAAGAATAGCATTTTGAAATACATTTAAGAATGACAGTATTGAAAAACATCAATATAAATAAATAAATAAATAAATATTTATAAATAAATAAATATTTATAAATAAATAAATAAATAAATAACTATATAAATAAATAAATAAGAAATAGTGATCTACATAGATCAACACTTTTTTTTAAGAAAACAATATATTAGACTTAAGTAGCAGTAACATATGAAATGATCTTAGCTCTTGATTTCATAGCATGTGTGTGTGTAATGTATGCTTAATGAGGGTTCATTCGCCTGTAAGGGCAAAAATGCAGCTTTCGCTGTCGAGTACGGACCCCGAACATGTCACCACTCATGTCTTAAAGGGTTAATTTTGTAGCATAAAGTGGTGATAATTTACCTCCATGCAATTTCCATAGAGTATTAGCCAAAGATATGAATTTTTAGCCAAAAGTAGGTCACTGTACGGCGGTCAATGAGACAGTAATCTGAGACAATATGAAAAAGTAGCCCTTACAAGCGCAGTTGGTGCCAGAAAAAGGCCTGCCGTTCCAGCCGTCTATCCGTGCTAGTGGCCCTAGCACCTAATCCTCGTCGACTCAAAGCCTACTTTGTAGGACCACTCGCCTTGGCATTAGTCATTATATCGGCAGCTGGTCTGCATTACAAGTTGTTCTTATTTTAACGCGCCATCCCAAGTTTGCGTTACCCAGGGTTCGAGGCATGTGATACTCAGGGCGTTTTAAAACACACTTCAAACTGTGCGCTAACAATACTATGAAATAAAAGATCATCCAGAGAATTGATGAATAAAAGACTGAATGAAAAGACCACGTGTTATTGTTTATTCTTCATATTATTATTTTGAAACAGAAATATTATATATAGTTTAAATGCTCTTTTCATCAGGTATTTGAAAATGGTGGACTTGGTTTCATGGACTTAAAGATTCGGGAGGACAAGAGATGTATCAGGTATGTAAATTCTCAAATATTGATTCCAGGTCTCATCAAAGACATAAATTAAACGGCCATATACTATCTCTTTTTAGTATTGGATGTCTCTTTCAGAAAAGTAGGTACACATGTAACGCAACGTTAGTCTGTAAAATTCGGCTTCAAGCCGATGCTAGGCAGCGTGCGGGATGTTGGCTTTTTTCATTATCCCTCATGTACAAACTCAATCAAACCGAGTCTGCAAATTTTATGTTATTTTGTTGTGATTAATGCTTCAGAGGATCACCATTTTTCTATATTTTCTTCACCAGGGAAGTCGCCGACCGTTGTTGACCAATGTTGTTCTTGTGATGGTGTCGTTTTGAATGTTTGGGGTCTTTTATCGCATTGTTGTTGTTGTTTTCATTATATCTTAATAACATGAATTGGCTAATGCTAACCGCCCAAAGTTCAAAAACATGGAAATGTATCAAAATGCTTCACTTGCTGTAAAATGAAATCCGGTACATTCAATAAATGCGACCTTTATACTTATAAATAAAGTTTTCTCGCATATCATTATTTTTACATAATAATTTCATATATTTTTCAGAGTTAAAATGCTTATATAACAATAATTTGATTTTAGTTTTTCAGAACCGGTTGATCTTGTTTTTACATGGGTGAATGGAAGCGATCCAAAACTAATCGATACAATGTTACATTATTTACCGGAGTAAGTAAAACTTGATTTTTGCCTTTGATTCATAATAAGTATATTTATTTACGACGTTTTTATCCATTTCGTAGTTGTTGTTGTTGTTGTTGAACTTAAGATACTGGTAGTAATACATAATAATAAAGAAAGGAACATTCATAACCAAAAATTAATGTTAGATAAAAAATGCACTTAAAGAGAATTAACATGTTTATTGCAGCAGTTTTTTAAAAGATTTTATTACATTTTATTGTTGTTGTTGTTATTATTGTTGTTGTTCTTGTTGTTGTTATTATTGGGTTTTTTTCTTGTTTTATTATATTTTTATTTATTTCATTTTAAAGTTTTATTTTTTTTATTATTTATTTATGTCTTATAAATATCTTTACATCAGAGGAACCGAGTTAACAGCAAAACGATTCCGAGATTGGGGAAATTTGAGATATGCTTTACGATCAGTAGAGAAGTATGCCGATTGGATCAACCATGTATATATTGTTACAAATGGCCAGGTACCAAACTGGTTAAACACCGGGTACCATAAAGTCTCCATTGTGAAACATTCGGTAAGATGATTTACTGCAAATTTTCCGCAAGTTTAAAAATTTTACTTAATTCAATTTCGGTTAAAACTTTATGCTTAAAGGGACCCCATTCCAGGTTCAATTTAATAGTGTCATAGGATATAATTGAAACAATTTCTTTCACGCCCAGTATCCCCAGTTTGATATTTAATCATCGCCATATTCGTTGACAGCGTTAGATACCATTTAGAATTAATAAAGGCACATTATGCCTCAGAAATCAATACATATTTACTTATTTAGAAGGAGAAAACAAGGATTTGTTTTCATGTTTAAATAATAGTTTTAGACAGTGTATGATGTTTGTTACCTGAATATAGCAGCAAAAAATGTGTTATTATTTTCATTAAAATAGTAAAATGTTAACAATGTAGTATTTTGTCTGCCATACATAACACAAAATACTTATTGACTATAACCGATCTTATTGACAAACAGTAACAAATGAAAAAAGAAGATGAATATGTCTAACTGAATACTACGATAAATGATACTAAAAAAGTATACCAAAATAAGAAAGCTTTTAAAAAACAAAAAATAAAAGCATTTCTGAAGCATAATATGCCTTTACGATTAATAATTTTGATAATTTATCAGAAAATAAAAATAAAAGATTGGGGAATTCAGCAAAATCGTTTAATTAACAACAGTTATATTTCGAATTATGAATGTATTGTATGTTTAAATATAATTTTTCCATGACGTTCCCAATACAGCTCATAAATGATATAGGTCTATAATTGGAGGGAATGTGGAGGTCACCCTTTTTTCAAAATGTGCATTGTCTTGTATTGTGGTTTGTTTTTAAAGTTTTTTGTAACGTTCGTCTTTCTTACCATTGATTTCTATTTTGCAGGATATTTTTCGAAATATAAGCCATTTACCAACGTTTAATGCACAGGCTATTGAGACTCATATTCACCGTATACCAGGATTGTCTAAGAGCTTTCTTTACATGAATGATGACTTTTTCTTTGCCCAAACAGTTGAACTCGAAGATTTTTATTCCAAAGAAACAGGTTTTAAAGTAAGTTCTTTTTTTTCTGTCTGACACTTTAAGATCCATTTTAAAAATACTGAAGATGGAGCTATTGCCATAGCCCTCTCGTCGTTTTTGAATTTGTTAACCTTTTGTTAAGGGTTATTCCACAGAAACTGTGATAGAAGCCTTTCCTCTTGTATATTTCATAACAAACGCTATTGACGTCATATATTGCATACAAGTTGTTATTGTAGCTTAACATGTATTGTCAAAACTTGCTTTCATGATACTGTAACATTACTTTAACTAAAGTTTCAGCTGAATATAAACTGGGCATACATTTCTATAAAGTTTTAATACGATTCTTGTTTATGTTTTGATAGAAAAAATAACAGACAAACACAAACTTTATTATCATGGACTTAAAACTTAGTTTGTGAGTTTGTGCTAACATAATTATAACATTTTACAGCCTATTCTTTAATAAAAGAACAAAAAACAGTCAAGAAAAAGCGTTGTTTTGATGAAAGACAAGAACAAGAAAATGTTACATTATTTATTATATTATATGAGAAGGCTTATCCGGTTAGACTTGGCTCGCTAAAGCCCGCAAAGATACACTTTCTCAGTTCTAATCACCGGATAAACCTTCTTCATCCCGACATCAACCACGAATTCTCTATTTTTGTATATAATTGATCAATAGTGAAACCATTTGTTTCTTATAACCTTAAGGTTAATTTTCGAAAGAGTTGTTACATAGCATGTATATGTTATTTTACATACATGAATAGTTTATGTAAATACGGGACAAAAAGCTCTGCTGTAATATTTAAGCAAACAGTTGAATGATTTTGTTTTGATAGGGTTACAATATACATGTAGTAAATATAACTATACATGTATAAACATAATTAATACGGCCTATTTCTTCACCTGTCAACAGATAAGATTTGGTGCTGAAAGAGTTCCCGAATACATTGACAAGTGTAACAAGTGCTGAA